AACTCTAAGGATCTATCATTAAATCTGCTTTGATATTCTATCACGTGGAGTTCGAATCATCTATCGCCTCGCACCGTGCTACCCCTGTTTTTGTTGAGATTTGGATTATTCGCGACCTCCAGATTTTCAGCAATTACAGTATGGTCTATAAAGAATTGTAATTCATGACCTTTTTTTCATACTATGTGGATGCTGTTGTTAAAATACAGTTTCATTGTTACTGAAATTTTGAAATGCTACAGTCTCTTGTTGGTTTTTAAATGCCTCCTCGCTAATATGTTAAGGCAGAAGCTTATCACCTTTTCAAGGTGACAAGCAAGCTTCTGGTTAGGCTGTTAGCTTCAATTATCAGACTCGTGCTAATTAAAGGGCAAGGTGTGTTTTGGCAGTGTCAGCCAAAGTAATGCATCTGGTACGTGATGCTTCGTGGAAACAAATATTCATAACTGCCATGAACAATAATTGTGCTGATTACACGTTTATGGTCAAGTTCTTGTCCAGTCCTCAAAACGTACTCGAAGCTTAAATTATTGTTAATCGATTCAATTTTTTTATTGCTACAGCTAAACTAATGTTTTCTTCTTTTCTTTTGAATTGCAACTTAAATACAGTTGGGACAGTCAAAGAAAACCTGTCGCCCCAAGGGTTGGGAGGTAAGAGAAACTTTAAATCACCCATAGTTCGTTCAAACCATACAAAGCTTTTGAGTGAAAGTTTATATGAATGTAAGGCCTTTATGGAGGAAAAATTATGATTGGAATTTGCTTTCGTTGTTTACCCTGAAGACAGTTCCAACGTACCTTCAAGAACGAATGAAGTGATTCGTTTAGAAAAAGAACTTCTGGCTGCCTGCAAGGGAGAGGACACATTCTTGCCGTGTTTTCTGGTGGACTCTTTCCATGGGGTAAAGATATGTACCTTTCTTCCGTCACACGCGTAAAGGTTGATGGTATTTGAAGTAAGGAATGCATGGGACTGGTTACTCAAGTGTTCCCACCACCCAACCCCCCCCCCCCGCACCCTTCTCTGTTGTTTCAGGACGTATTCGTCAGAATATGCAGCAGTTAGGCTAGTACTAAGCTAGTATTAACAATAACTAAACTCACGACCTGCTATTATTCGTGTAATGATAGAATGTTTGCCTTTGAATCCCGCAAAGAGCTATTCCCTATTTGGCCAAAACAAGTAGACTTAAGCATTTAACGAAACAAATAAAAAGACATAATCTAGACGAAGGAAATAACTAAAAATACACCAAAACCGATGCACTTTGGTCGATGGGGTAAAGTTACTAATAAACATAAACTAGTTTATGTTGTGTATTGTTCTTTAGCTTTGCTGGCAGGCACACAAAATGAATAAAGCGATGGGGAGAATCTTGCGAAACCCTAAAAAGGAAAACATGGCCATCAGAGAAGGCATTGTAAGGTAGGCCGTGATAACCAGCCTCTAGGAAATTCAGATGGAACAAAAATTTCAGCTACTATAACACAACCTAACCTTTTTTGTGATTGTTAATAAGAAAAACATATTTTTATTTTGTAATCTGCTTGTGTTATAACACATAACAACCTTACGGAAATAGACATCCTGGACACGTCCGAGGTCCTGGAAAAGACTTGTGACGCCCTCAAAGTGCTGTCGTCGCAAAGATACATGTAGAATCGACCATTATCTTCCAGTGTATGAGTGCTGATCGATGCATCAATTTTGTAGGTGTTTTTAGTAGTCTCAAACACTTTGATAATCGAAGCAATCTGTGTAATTGTAAGCATGTATTTTCGATTGTAATTTTTAAGTATGTAGCCAGCTGAAGACAATTCATAGCTTATACTTTCATTAGTTATTACCAGGTGAAAAGTGGGCGAAGAGCCACTCGGTGGAAGTACTAGTACTAATTACCTATTATTACTACTAATTATTATTACTATTATTATTATGTGGAACGCTGTCCCACGAAGCCTTAACAGTGTACATGTACATACATGCAGATGTATATAAGCAATCTTTTTAGGCCTGCATGTCTTTTGATGCTTGCCTGATGGGGCTCAATCGGCAAATGTACAACTGTTAAGTAATCTAATAGCCTTGACTTCAATTTCGCAGAGAACAACTTGACAAGTTCCGGGCGGAGAGGGAAGAACAAGATGACAACTTTCGTCAAGCGCAATTGGAGAATGCACAACATGAAGAAAGTGATCCAAGAAAGGCTGAACAACAGGTAAACACTACTTGCACCATCAGAGTAGAAGCCTATCCTCTATGCCTGTTTGCCGTATGTGGCTAGATCCAAACAACATATTAGTGGCTTTAAGCGAAATCAACAGTGGCTTCCCAGTATTCTTGCTACCCTTACGTTCTGCATTGAATATAACGTGTTCATAAACATTTAAGCTTAGCTGCAACGACTTTGCAGGATAATGAAAAAAAGGCAAGGAAAGCCCGCTTGTCTGATGAGCCGGAGGATGGGTTGACGATTCTAATTCGTGCCTCGACAGGGACATTCTCAAGAAAATTTAAGAGGCACTCATTTTCAGGTAAGGAACAGCACTACCTAAAAAGAGTTAGTCATTTCAAATAATATCTAAGTTATCTGCGTATTTTTTTAATTACCTGGTACAAACTGAGAGGTAAAGTTAAGTAATTAGCCCCATGACACTTGTTTTGACTTGCCCCGAACACGCTAAAAATGAAACCATAACCATTACTCTAAATTTTTACATGACACATTAATAACTCAGTACAATGCAACAAAACTCAAAACATGCGTTGTGTACAAACAAGTACGTTCAAGGTTAATGAGAAGTAGAACCGTAAATAACTGAAATATTCACAACATTCTTATGTTATTCTTCTCAATGCAACAGGAAATCTACGATTGGGCAGGAACAAATGAAATTTTGCCCCACTATTTTACAATACACAGAGGGGACCATCTTGTTTCCCACCAGGAAACAATCAGCCACGATGAGACGCTGAATCTTACTGAAAGAGTAGGTAGAAAGTATAAAACGAACTGATACCCGATAGTAACTTCTATGAAGAAAAAAATTTTAAACCTTGTTTAACTAAACACCTTTAAAACATGTTTAAACCTCGCTGTGAATGCAGCATTAGCCTTTAAGTTGCTTACATTTTATGTAATACACCGCCCTGAGTACAATCTTAGATATTTTCAATAGGTAAAATTGTAAGGAGATCAGATATCCTCATGCAGTGGATAGTCTAAATGGACTTCTGTCTTACTTCTTAGCACCCACCCCCTACGCTCGTAGTGGCGAAATGTTGCTAGTAGTAATTAACATTTTTCTATTACTTGTACAGGAGGAGACAGAAATGGAAACATAATCCCACTCTAAGGTTAGGAAATCAACGTAATTGGCACTCATTTATTCGAACTTAATAGTTTAAACCCTTTTGTGCACTCGGGGAAAGAACTTTCTGATTGAACCAGGGTAATTGGAACCAAGCTTTTAGGAAAATACCCTCGGTCGAAAGACTTCCTAATCGAGCTAGGACACGTGGGACCAGGCTGTTCATGAGCCCGGACACTTGGGACCAGGTTCTTAGGAAGGTAAACTCTGTCGAAAGACCTTCTGATCAAGCCAGGACACTTAGGACAAGGCTCTTCGTGAGCCCGGACACTTGGGACCAGGTTCTTAGGATTCTATCACAGTTTTCTTTTTAGCATGTTGGGGTGGTAAAATTACATATTTTATAATTTCCTACTGGATCACTCGGAACCAGGCTCTTAGGAATCTATCAACAAAAAAACGAAAGGCATTAACGAGGCAGTGAATATGTCCTTGCTTTTAAGCGTGGTCGCTTGGAACCAGGTTCTGTGTTTGCCAACTCATCTTCGGTCGAAAAACGTCCTACTCAAGCCAGGACACTTGAGACCAGGTTCTTAGGAAGGTGACCCCGATCGAAAGACTTCCTAATCGAGCCAGGACACTTGGGACCATGCTCTTCGTGAGACTGGACACTTGGGACCAGATTCTTAGGAAGGTAAACTCGACTGAAAGACTTCCTAATCGAGCCAGGACACTTGGGACCAGGTTCTTAGGAATGTACCCACGGTAGATAGACTTCCTAATCGAGCCAGGAAACTTGGGACCAGGCTGCTAAAATTTCACGGTTTCGGTGGACATGAGAATGGTACAAGAAAGCATTTGATTACTTTTTCTGGATCGCTTGAGATCAGACAATATGTAAGGCAACTTACCCCCCCCCCCTCCTCTCCCCGATCGATGAACTTAAACCAGGACACTCGGGAACAGGCTCTTAAGAACTTATCCTCGCTCGATAGACTCCCTAATCTAACCAGAACACCTGAAACCAGGCTCTTCATGAACGGGGACGTTTGAGACCAGATTCTTAGAATTCTACCATTGTGTAATGCATATGAAAATTAGGAGTAGCAAGAAGACATATACGCAGAAAGTTAATTTAAACGCGTAATTATTTTGATATAAAATCACTAAACTCGGTTCTTATAATATAAACATAACCACAGTGCATTTGTTCACTTCTTGAACACTTAGTTGGGTAAACTAAAAGGGGGGTATTCGACCCATAAATGTCAAACAGCCATCCAATATTTAAAGGGCCCGGGATAACTGTTTGACATTTATGGGTAGAATACTTCCCTTGGATTTCCTGTTGACAGGTTTCCTTCGAAGGGAATTACAATTACCAAGAAGGCGAATTGTAAAAAACCCTGGAAGGTAAGAACTTTTCATTTTAAAAATTCTCAACTCGGAACGTTCTTGGTACCAAAAAAAGGCTGCGATTTTCACTTTGTAACGCCATCATGTAGCCAAGTCTTAAATATCTTTCCAACAAGTCTTTGTTCTATAGATTATTTGTTTGCTCATTTTTGTGCCTCGTCGGCCATTGTGTAAAGCCAAATACTGTTAAACATTGACAGGGGGGTCTTTATGTGTTTGGGAAAGATATTGTGCGATAACTCTAGGCTGGTTGGAGTTTAGTAACGCAGGTTTTATTGTCATTGCAGATGCCGAAATGGATGCCAAAGAAGATGGAGAAGATAAGAACGAAGATTAAAAGAACGATGGAAATGAAGACGTGCCTACCACGTTTTTAGAAAGGAAAAAAAGGAAAAGAAAGAACAGCACAAAAGCAGAAGAAAAAGAAAGAGAAGGAAGGAAACAGCAAAAACCGACAACTGAATTTAATGATTACTGGGCCTTTCAATAACATGCGAACTCTGAGGTTAAAGGGGCTATGTCACGTTATTTTAGCATTCGTTGAAATCCCAAATATGCCTTGAATTCCAAAATAATGGTCTAGGTTGGATATTTAAGAGTATATTATGAGGTTGAATCTGTTTCCTGTCGTTTGTTGCTAGGGACGGCAATGATGGAAATGGATTGAAACCTGAAAAAGTTGGGCCAATCTTTTTTTAAGTTCTGATGCTAACTCAACAAAAAAATACCAAAAACCTTATTACAGGTTGCTCATTTTGATACAATTCATTAGATATCCACCTCACATTTTATCAGGAACATTTTGTGCATAAGTAAAATAGCTAAGCAACGGCATTAGCAAAGAATTGACCCAGAACAACAAAATTGTCATGACATAGCCCGTTTAAGAACCAAATTTACGATTTCTTTTCATGCTGCCGTCAATTGCAACTCAGGGACATGAGTTTTCTTTCATCCTTACCTCTGAAATATAGGGAATGTTCCCAAAAGATCCACAGTATGACTGATGGCGTATTTTGAATGATGCATCTCCTTTTCCACAGTTGGCATGTTATTGCAAGAGTAATGAATTCGATGTATTTTCCTTAGGATAACAAAGATAGATTGTGGTTTAGTTTGTAGATATAATGGTAAATGTACTTTCCATAACAATTACTGAATATTATCTGGACGAAAGATTCTCCTACAATCTGCGACACGATAGCCCAACGCATGCCATTAAGATCACAACATTTCTGAATAGTTTTAGCCTCGATTCCCTCACTTTGACCCACCCTCCTCTGATAAACGAGTCTAAGAGAGGATAATGAGACAGAGAGGGACTCTCAGGGACTTCGCTGGGATATGTAAATTTCACTTAAGTTATTTGTGGACACCAGAAGTCGTTTTCCAGAGAAGTCCGGAAATCTTAATTTTGACATTTATAGTTGCATATTCATACTTTTTGAAGCACAAATGTAACAAAAAACCAAAACAACCCACAGCAAAGACATGAGAGCCACAAATAAGTGTTCGCGGACGTCTCGGGAGACAGATTTCCGTCTCTAAAAATAACCTTACTGAAATTTACATATCCAAAAGGCTAGAATGTGGTAAAGGGTATAAGGGTATTTCGAGGTGTGGTAGATTTTAAAGTTCATTTTTAAGCCAGCCTAAAAAGTGCTCACCGAAATTTGTCGCAGATTGTAGTGTATTGTGAATATTCTTTTTTTTATCCATGTATTTTTGGATATACCGTCAAGGGCAATTGATGGAGCAAAGCATTGTTAATAGATGGTATCCTTTTTAGCCGTGAATAATGTTGTTTTCAGAGGCAGCTATCCATCTGTACAGAAAAACTGATGACAATTTTTTTATGAAAAGGAAAAGCCAAATTTAATTTCACAGCCAAATGAAACAGGGCAAGTGTGTAAGAGCCTGGATTCTACAGTTAGCAACAAGAAATTCATTTTATCATTTGGCATGCTGCTGGTAGCACCAGTAGGTCCATTTATTATTATCATTTTTAATTCAAAACAACTTCTAGTAGAAAGGGCTGTTCCTTTTTTACTTCACACCGTTAAAATGGAAAGCGCCCACTGACAGCTGACAGCTTCTACCTTTTAGATGTTTGTGTTATTTTCAGACTCAATATTTCGATTGGCAATTTTTGTATTTATTCTAATCATTGACATCATGTTCTTCATCAATTATAGAATCGTGTTGTATATTCTAGATAGAATGATAGAGTGGTAGAAGCACTTTATTATACCTTATAGGCAACCTATTTGTTGGTTATTGTCGATAAAAAAAAAAATTCTGAGGATGAAACAGATAGTGGTAGTAAAAATTAAACTGATGTTTAAGTACACAAAAGGTACAACTCGAGAATAATTACATCAATACTCTTTATTATTTACGTTAGTGATATTCGGCCGATCAATTTGTTAGTTAGATACTGAAAAAAAAAACATTTCAAATAAATCATTCCACACCAAATGAAAGAAGAATTCATTGCCCCTGCCTACATTGACATCAACAAATCCAGCAACAATATATGAAGTTAATGGTCCTTAATCTGAGTTTTTCAAAGTTAAGACTATTCAAAGCCGGAGTTTCTGGTCAACGCAAGACTGCGAGTAAAATAATTTTCTTGATAATTACATTACTTTACCATTTACACTGAAGTAAAAAGGATACATTAATTAATTCATAAACTAGCCTCCCTTCATGAACGAGTCTGGTCCAACGAGTCTGGTTTCACGAACGAGTCACGTTTTCCTAACAAGTCTCGCTTTCCGAACGAGTCTCGTAGTTTAGTATTAAAGTTTATATTAAACGAGTCTTTCCAGACGAGTCTTGTTAAACGAGTCTATCCGGACGATTCTTGTTAAACGAGTCTCCTTTTTCCACGAGTCTCATATTCAGAACGAGCCTTTCTAAACAAGTCTCGTTTTCTGAAGGACTCGTTTTTTGAACAAGCCTCGTTTCAAGAACGAGGCTCATTTTTTTAAACGAGTCACGTCTTTGTGGCAGATCGAGTAGCCATTTTATCGAGACGATTTTTTTCGAGGCTATCTAGATTGGTTTCCCAGAAACAGTGAGTGATCCGAAACTGCTTGGCTATCTGGCTGTCTGGGAAGATTTTGGCAAATAGTTTGTCTGTACCTGTACTGCTGTTACACGA